CTTTGTTTGTTCAATTTTTTTTAAATTTTTTTCTTGGAAAATGAGATATGGAGATGGTTCATTCCTCCATCAGGCTATGGATTGGAAGTTAGTTGTTGGGGGTGTGGTTAATACTTGAGGGGATTAACCAGAACAATTCATGAGATGCATTAGAAGTCTCTGGTTGACTGATCAAAACACTGTGCAGATCAGATCAGTGGTGACCCATGGCTTCAATCCATTAACTGTGACAATGGTTTAAGTTCAGATCTTAGGGACTGTGAGATGTCTTGACCTTGGGGGAATAGAAGGGACCCCAACAAGGAGTAAAGGAGAGGGGACGATGCTTGATTGTGGGGGAACCTGGGAGGGTGTTGTGAGCTGTGGAAGCATTTTTTGAATTTATTTCGATGATCTGAATTATTCATATTGTAGGGTTTGTCATATAGATTATATATGAAAAAAATCAAGTCCATTAGACATTTGCGTATCTGGCTTTCAAGCGAACTACCACACTATCATAGAGCCACCCATTACCATACACCTCCGCCTTGATTGAAACAGAGCCACTACTCAGTACCTTAGTGCCTTGTACTACTTCCGCAAAAGACTTCTTATTAATAAACGGATTGGGACCTCTCCTAACCTCTGCTCTGTATTTTGATTGCTTTGGTGGTTGAATATGAGTCTGCCCATGCTCTCTGTTTCTTTCAAACTCAGCAAATTTCACTCCTAACTTTTTATCATCCACCCAAAGACCATGAGCTTTTTGCACTGCCACCTTCGCTGCTACTTCACAACTAAATCTTACAAAGCCAAATCTTGTGTTGGTGATTCTTCTTCTCTTTTGCGGTATGAATACATCTTTTACAACACCAAACTTCCGAAAGAGATTAGACAGACCTTTGGGATCCAATAAGCAAGGTAGATTATATACACCAGCTAATGTAGGAATTTGATAAAGACTACTTATGATTCGAGTTGAAAATGCCAAAAGAATAAAAACAATAATTAAAATCAATGTCAACTCCGGCAATGAAAAGGGATATCATTATTATTATTTACCATAATATTTATGTTTAATTTTTTTTTTTTTTTAAAACTGTGATGTTATGTATAGTGTGCAGAGAAACCATGGCAGCTACAACCAGCAAAGGAGAAAGAAGTTGCAATGAGCAGCCGTAGTAGTCTAAGTTCAGAGATGGTGGAGACTGAACTGTTCATCGGCCTGCCTCTAATGCGCTGCTGATAGCAAATTTTCATCCTCCTCCATATTGACTGCACATCATATATACACACTTGATTCAACATCAAATGATTGCATTTCAAGGCATGCAATAGATCAAATGATGGAACAATTTGGGTACGGCAAAAAGATCATATGTACTTATTCGATCTAGTAAGTGTATCTTATGTCAAAATTGAGAAATTCTATGTACCTATTCTCTTATTTATTACCTTGGTCTACTATATAGGCAGGATACCGTTATTGTTACTAAGAAACTGAAAGAAACCTCGAAAACGGAAGAAAGGGCTCGCATGCAAATCTCGGGTCTTGATTGGTATGCTTATTGGTATATATTTGTTAGTTTCTTCTAATATTGTTGTTTTGTTTCTGGAAACGCCATTCTGTAATTCCATATATATCTGATGTGTGTTGTACATTTGTAGTATGCATTTCATAATCTCTCTCTCTCTCTCTCTCTCTCTCTCTCTCTCTCTCTTATTTCGTGTAATTTTGTATTCATGATATTAGTGGACCTAGTGGTTGTTTGTTGGCCACTTTATTTGATAAATGCTCAAAATTAGTGGTTGCAAAATTGAGGAGTTTATATGTTGAAATTGATATCAGCATCTCATTTAGCTACACTGATTTTTTTTTAAAATTATGGGAAGAGCTTCTCTCAATATTGCCAAAAAAATTGGACTGCCCAGTTCATATATTGAGATTATGCTTCATCATCATTTTGTGTAATCAATGGTCCAGATCTTGGTGAAGGTTACATAAATTTTTTTATTTTTTTTATTTTTTTAAAAAAAAGGGTCATTCCGTCTCTGGGAAGCAAGTGGTGCCATGCTTCTGTGCCGTTGCCCCCTTCCCCCACCGGTAAATATGAAAAATTTGTTTGAATCTAAAAAAAAAAAAAATTGAGGCTTTGTTTGTTCAATTTTTTTTAAATTTTTTTCTTGGAAAATGAGATATGGAGATGGTTCATTCCTCCATCAGGCTATGGATTGGAAGTTAGTTGTTGGGGGTGTGGTTAATACTTGAGGGGATTAACCAGAACAATTCATGAGATGCATTAGAAGTCTCTGGTTGACTGATCAAAACACTGTGCAGATCAGATCAGTGGTGACCCATGGCTTCAATCCATTAACTGTGACAATGGTTTAAGTTCAGATCTTAGGGACTGTGAGATGTCTTGACCTTGGGGGAATAGAAGGGACCCCAACAAGGAGTAAAGGAGAGGGGACGATGCTTGATTGTGGGGGAACCTGGGAGGGTGTTGTGAGCTGTGGAAGCATTTTTTGAATTTATTTCGATGATCTGAATTATTCATATTGTAGGGTTTGTCATATAGATTATATATGAAAAAAATCAAGTCCATTAGACATTTGCGTATCTGGCTTTCAAGCGAACTACCACACTATCATAGAGCCACCCATTACCATACACCTCCGCCTTGATTGAAACAGAGCCACTACTCAGTACCTTAGTGCCTTGTACTACTTCCGCAAAAGACTTCTTATTAATAAACGGATTGGGACCTCTCCTAACCTCTGCTCTGTATTTTGATTGCTTTGGTGGTTGAATATGAGTCTGCCCATGCTCTCTGTTTCTTTCAAACTCAGCAAATTTCACTCCTAACTTTTTATCATCCACCCAAAGACCATGAGCTTTTTGCACTGCCACCTTCGCTGCTACTTCACAACTAAATCTTACAAAGCCAAATCTTGTGTTGGTGATTCTTCTTCTCTTTTGCGGTATGAATACATCTTTTACAACACCAAACTTCCGAAAGAGATTAGACAGACCTTTGGGATCCAATAAGCAAGGTAGATTATATACACCAGCTAATGTAGGAATTTGATAAAGACTACTTATGATTCGAGTTGAAAATGCCAAAAGAATAAAAACAATAATTAAAATCAATGTCAACTCCGGCAATGAAAAGGGATATCATTATTATTATTTACCATAATATTTATGTTTAATTTTTTTTTTTTTTTAAAACTGTGATGTTATGTATAGTGTGCAGAGAAACCATGGCAGCTACAACCAGCAAAGGAGAAAGAAGTTGCAATGAGCAGCCGTAGTAGTCTAAGTTCAGAGATGGTGGAGACTGAACTGTTCATCGGCCTGCCTCTAATGCGCTGCTGATAGCAAATTTTCATCCTCCTCCATATTGACTGCACATCATATATACACACTTGATTCAACATCAAATGATTGCATTTCAAGGCATGCAATAGATCAAATGATGGAACAATTTGGGTACGGCAAAAAGATCATATGTACTTATTCGATCTAGTAAGTGTATCTTATGTCAAAATTGAGAAATTCTATGTACCTATTCTCTTATTTATTACCTTGGTCTACTATATAGGCAGGATACCGTTATTGTTACTAAGAAACTGAAAGAAACCTCGAAAACGGAAGAAAGGGCTCGCATGCAAATCTCGGGTCTTGATTGGTATGCTTATTGGTATATATTTGTTAGTTTCTTCTAATATTGTTGTTTTGTTTCTGGAAACGCCATTCTGTAATTCCATATATATCTGATGTGTGTTGTACATTTGTAGTATGCATTTCATAATCTCTCTCTCTCTCTCTCTCTCTCTCTCTCTCTCTCTCTTATTTCGTGTAATTTTGTATTCATGATATTAGTGGACCTAGTGGTTGTTTGTTGGCCACTTTATTTGATAAATGCTCAAAATTAGTGGTTGCAAAATTGAGGAGTTTATATGTTGAAATTGATATCAGCATCTCATTTAGCTACACTGATTTTTTTTTAAAATTATGGGAAGAGCTTCTCTCAATATTGCCAAAAAAATTGGACTGCCCAGTTCATATATTGAGATTATGCTTCATCATCATTTTGTGTAATCAATGGTCCAGATCTTGGTGAAGGTTACATAAATTTTTTTATTTTTTTTATTTTTTTAAAAAAAAGGGTCATTCCGTCTCTGGGAAGCAAGTGGTGCCATGCTTCTGTGCCGTTGCCCCCTTCCCCCACCGGTAAATATGAAAAATTTGTTTGAATCTAAAAAAAAAAAAAATTGAGGCTTTGTTTGTTCAATTTTTTTTAAATTTTTTTCTTGGAAAATGAGATATGGAGATGGTTCATTCCTCCATCAGGCTATGGATTGGAAGTTAGTTGTTGGGGGTGTGGTTAATACTTGAGGGGATTAACCAGAACAATTCATGAGATGCATTAGAAGTCTCTGGTTGACTGATCAAAACACTGTGCAGATCAGATCAGTGGTGACCCATGGCTTCAATCCATTAACTGTGACAATGGTTTAAGTTCAGATCTTAGGGACTGTGAGATGTCTTGACCTTGGGGGAATAGAAGGGACCCCAACAAGGAGTAAAGGAGAGGGGACGATGCTTGATTGTGGGGGAACCTGGGAGGGTGTTGTGAGCTGTGGAAGCATTTTTTGAATTTATTTCGATGATCTGAATTATTCATATTGTAGGGTTTGTCATATAGATTATATATGAAAAAAATCAAGTCCATTAGACATTTGCGTATCTGGCTTTCAAGCGAACTACCACACTATCATAGAGCCACCCATTACCATACACCTCCGCCTTGATTGAAACAGAGCCACTACTCAGTACCTTAGTGCCTTGTACTACTTCCGCAAAAGACTTCTTATTAATAAACGGATTGGGACCTCTCCTAACCTCTGCTCTGTATTTTGATTGCTTTGGTGGTTGAATATGAGTCTGCCCATGCTCTCTGTTTCTTTCAAACTCAGCAAATTTCACTCCTAACTTTTTATCATCCACCCAAAGACCATGAGCTTTTTGCACTGCCACCTTCGCTGCTACTTCACAACTAAATCTTACAAAGCCAAATCTTGTGTTGGTGATTCTTCTTCTCTTTTGCGGTATGAATACATCTTTTACAACACCAAACTTCCGAAAGAGATTAGACAGACCTTTGGGATCCAATAAGCAAGGTAGATTATATACACCAGCTAATGTAGGAATTTGATAAAGACTACTTATGATTCGAGTTGAAAATGCCAAAAGAATAAAAACAATAATTAAAATCAATGTCAACTCCGGCAATGAAAAGGGATATCATTATTATTATTTACCATAATATTTATGTTTAATTTTTTTTTTTTTTTAAAACTGTGATGTTATGTATAGTGTGCAGAGAAACCATGGCAGCTACAACCAGCAAAGGAGAAAGAAGTTGCAATGAGCAGCCGTAGTAGTCTAAGTTCAGAGATGGTGGAGACTGAACTGTTCATCGGCCTGCCTCTAATGCGCTGCTGATAGCAAATTTTCATCCTCCTCCATATTGACTGCACATCATATATACACACTTGATTCAACATCAAATGATTGCATTTCAAGGCATGCAATAGATCAAATGATGGAACAATTTGGGTACGGCAAAAAGATCATATGTACTTATTCGATCTAGTAAGTGTATCTTATGTCAAAATTGAGAAATTCTATGTACCTATTCTCTTATTTATTACCTTGGTCTACTATATAGGCAGGATACCGTTATTGTTACTAAGAAACTGAAAGAAACCTCGAAAACGGAAGAAAGGGCTCGCATGCAAATCTCGGGTCTTGATTGGTATGCTTATTGGTATATATTTGTTAGTTTCTTCTAATATTGTTGTTTTGTTTCTGGAAACGCCATTCTGTAATTCCATATATATCTGATGTGTGTTGTACATTTGTAGTATGCATTTCATAATCTCTCTCTCTCTCTCTCTCTCTCTCTCTCTCTCTCTCTTATTTCGTGTAATTTTGTATTCATGATATTAGTGGACCTAGTGGTTGTTTGTTGGCCACTTTATTTGATAAATGCTCAAAATTAGTGGTTGCAAAATTGAGGAGTTTATATGTTGAAATTGATATCAGCATCTCATTTAGCTACACTGATTTTTTTTTAAAATTATGGGAAGAGCTTCTCTCAATATTGCCAAAAAAATTGGACTGCCCAGTTCATATATTGAGATTATGCTTCATCATCATTTTGTGTAATCAATGGTCCAGATCTTGGTGAAGGTTACATAAATTTTTTTATTTTTTTTATTTTTTTAAAAAAAAGGGTCATTCCGTCTCTGGGAAGCAAGTGGTGCCATGCTTCTGTGCCGTTGCCCCCTTCCCCCACCGGTAAATATGAAAAATTTGTTTGAATCTAAAAAAAAAAAAAATTGAGGCTTTGTTTGTTCAATTTTTTTTAAATTTTTTTCTTGGAAAATGAGATATGGAGATGGTTCATTCCTCCATCAGGCTATGGATTGGAAGTTAGTTGTTGGGGGTGTGGTTAATACTTGAGGGGATTAACCAGAACAATTCATGAGATGCATTAGAAGTCTCTGGTTGACTGATCAAAACACTGTGCAGATCAGATCAGTGGTGACCCATGGCTTCAATCCATTAACTGTGACAATGGTTTAAGTTCAGATCTTAGGGACTGTGAGATGTCTTGACCTTGGGGGAATAGAAGGGACCCCAACAAGGAGTAAAGGAGAGGGGACGATGCTTGATTGTGGGGGAACCTGGGAGGGTGTTGTGAGCTGTGGAAGCATTTTTTGAATTTATTTCGATGATCTGAATTATTCATATTGTAGGGTTTGTCATATAGATTATATATGAAAAAAATCAAGTCAGACTGATGTTAACGTATCTGGCTTTCAAGCGAACTACCACACTATCATAGAGCCACCCATTACCAGACACCTCCGCCTTGATTGAAACAGAGCCACTACTCAGTACCTTAGTGCCTTTTACTACTTCCGCAAAAGACTTCTTATTAATAAAAGGATTGGGACCTCTCCTAACCTCTGCTCTGTATTTTGATTGCTTTGGTGGTTGAATATGAGTCTGCCCATGCTCTCTGTTTCTTTCAAACTCAGCAAATTTCACTCCTAACTTTTTATCATCCACCCAAAGACCATGAGCTTTTTGCACTGCCACCTTCGCTGCTACTTCACAACTAAATCTTACAAAGCCAAATCTTGTGTTGGTGATTCTTCTTCTCTTTTGCGGTATGAATACATCTTTTACAACTCCAAACTTCCGAAAGAGATTAAACAGACCTTTGGGATCCAATGAGCAAGGTAGATTATCCACAAAAACTGAAAAGTCTTCCGAGCTAACCATGTTCCGCCATGCTTCTGTTTTTCCTCTATGCTTCAGCACCGGGATCCAGCCTCCAACCATCTCAACTATTCTTACCTCCACTAGCACATAGATGTGATTTTTTAGATTTATTAAGTATGCTTGTTTGTGTTAACATTTGGTTTAAATTAGTTAGAAAGTGTTTTAAGTTGCAAATTACATGTAACACGGAGGAGAGAGAGCACGCTATGAGATTAAAGAAAGAAAACAAAGAAGGTAGCAAAGTGATTTAGTGATGTCATTGTATTGAGTTATTACCTCTTCCAAATCAATTTGTACTTAACGTGGTCCTTCCAAAATCTCTTTCATTCATTCATTGTCCTCCCAATTCAACAATTCTAGTGCACCCCTTTCTAACCGTAGAAAATTAATTAGCCATCTTGTACTACAACATATAAGAGTTTTAGAAATTAAATATTTTAGTCCTTAAAAGTGAAAATTTTGTTACAGAAGACATTTAGAGACCAATTTCTATCGTCTTGAGGTTAGTCGCTAAAAGATCGTCTTGAAAAGTCAAAAATAAGGCTTTTAGGGACAAAATTTTGGAATGTCACTACTAAATAGACTTTTAGGAACAAATAATTTGGTCTCAAAATAATTTATTTTTGACATAAAAAATTTAGTTCTAAAAAGATAATAATTCATCACTAATATCCAATTTTTATTGCTAAAAATATAATGACAACACTTTTCACAACAAAAATATTTGGTTACTAAAAAATATTTTGTCCATAAATTTTGATCTTTAAAAACCTTAATTTTTTGTAGTTGGGGTAAGTTCATGTAGCACTCCAATTTAATTTTTATTGGTCAATATGATATGACTTAATACTTTTTATTTGATTTATAAAAATTAACATGATAAATATTATATGTTGAATGATGTGAAGCATTACTCTCATATGATCAAATAGTCACTGACTAACTACAAACCTATATATGAATTGACGGTGCAGAAACCAGCTTCTAAGTTACTTTTAACGTCTACCCCAACCCTTGCTCCAAAAACTGGCTATTTTCCATTTTAATATGAGAGTTAAGACAAATTATAATTTTTAAATATAAGCAAATTTTTAGATTTTACAAAATAGATAAAGAATAATTACTACGTTGAATGTAATTTACCTTATTATTGGGAGAACTTTGACATAGAATAAATTAAAATTACAAAACTCATATAATGTAATTTATTAATTTTTTATCATAAATGTAATTTTTGTAATTTATCTTTTCTTTTTCTTTTATTTTTTGTCAATTAAACGATGATATGTATTTTTTATTTCTAAGAACTTAGAATACACAATTAAAGTAAAAAAAAAAAAAAACTAATTTTAAAAAGGTTAAAACTTAATTGATTCTGAATTATTATTTTTATATATTTTAAATCAATTTTATATTATTTAATTTTATTTATTTATTTATGTCCGTGCATAGAACGGTATATATATTGACATTATTGTTTCAATATAAAGAAAAGTAAATTATATATATATATATATATATATTAGAGTTCTTCAATTGCTTTGGACGATTCATTCTACTCAACTTATTAGTCTTCAGGGAGCTTCAAGACACCCTTTTTTTTATATATAATTAATTTAGTGTCATAATTCAACATAACTATATCTACCGAGAGAGCTTTGTTTTGCGTATTATTTTCTGTTTATTTATTTCTTAATCTATGGATAGTTTAGTCTTTGAGTAACGATGCGTTACTATTATGTTTTTTGATCAGCAAAGTGAAAATTTCATTAAAAATATGAAATTACAGGTATAGAAAGATGCAATGCATCGAAAGAGATTCAAACAGTACAAAATACCCCTACTACTGCTACTCACAAACATACAACTAACCCCTCGGCCTCACAAATTTTTTTTGTTTTTGTTTTTTTTTTGAACAAAAGAAAACAAAACAAGACCAAAACAATAAACAAAAAAATTAAGGACATAACTAAAAAAATCAAAAAACTTGAACCTCCAAAATCAAAACCATAGACACTAACAGGCACCCATAAGCACACTCCTCAACTCCCAAGGCACTGCCCCACTACTTGCAAGGCACAACTCTGTGTCTCCCATACCTGTCCCCTCCATCAGACTTCACCCACCTTCGCCGAACTTCACCCACTACCAACTCACACAAGGCAGAAACACACCCTCCGCCGGCCTTCAATGTTAGTCTTCCTTTCATTGGTCCTCCTTTCATTGGCCTTTGTCATAATATATAAGAGTTTTAATAACTATTTATTTTTTGTCCAAAAGGGAAAAAAATTGTGATAAAAATATTTGGAGACCAATTTTATTAGTCATGTGAGTCAAAAAACTATCCCAAAAAATCAAGAAATGTGTTTTTCGATAAAATTTTGAGAATGTCACTGACGCATAAGGTCAACAATTTTATGTCAAAAGTTTATTTTTTAAGACAAAAATTTGATTCTAAAAAAAATATTACTAAATATTCAATCGTCGCTAAAAATACAATAATTATACTTTGTAAAAATAAAACGACGACATTTTTAATAACTAAAATATTTCATTCCTATATTTTTGTTTCTAAAATTTAATTGTTGTAGTGGTTTTGAAAATTTTGAAGTGGCTGAGTGGGGTTTCAAAGATGGGTATTCAAAATATATGAAACAGAGTGTTTAAAATATAAAGAATTTACTTACTAACAAATATAATATTTATATATACAAAGAAAAACAAAATCATGACATTCAATTGAATACATGTTTGTTTGGGTGGACATGAGATTGGGATTGGATTAATAGTCCAATAAAATTATTAATCCGATATTTGGTTAAACAATTGAAGTACGGACTAATTATTTTAAACTTGACTATTAGTTAAGATAGGATACATAATCCAATGGATTCGTAGTCCTAGGACTGTTAGTCATGGAAATGCTAATCCAGTCCGCTCAAACAAACATGGCCTAAACTACTACCGTCATCCCCTCTAGTTGGGAAGGGCTGGCTGAAGCTCGGGAGGGGTTCGTCGGAGCTGGAGTAAAAGTTTGTCTTTTTTAATAATTTAATTAAAGAGTAAAATGGTATTATTATTATTATTAATAAAATAAAAAATAAAAAAAAGTTGCAGCAATGTTTTTAGACTGCAAGTTCACCGTTAGCAACACGTAACAGAACCATCGGAAAAAACGATTGAGATTCCTAAAAAGGCTCGATTAGTTTATCCACAATAAGATGTTATATCATGTGTTAATTTTTTAAGGGCAAATATTAGCCAGTGATATTGTCAAAAAGTTGTTACAGATTAATAAATTTTTATGATTTTAATTATTAATTCTTTTATAGTTTACCATTTATTTGTGATTTTTTTTACAAACTTATACTAATGGTAGTGAGGTTTAGTACAAGTCTAGCTTCATTAATTCAAATAATTTATTTTAGAGGGCCATTCATATATATCATCTATATAAAAAAATTTGGTCAATCTAATAACTGTAATCTATTCTAGTTATCACGTTTGTTACTAAAAAATGAATGGTCTATTTTGAAAAACAAACTTACCGACAATAAATGAAACATGCAACCATCATTGAATAGATTTAATCTTTTATGTGAATGATATATACACAAATGACTCTAAGGCTAAGTTTGGCATAACCTATATAATTCATCTTTTTATCTTTTTTTCATTACATCACCTCTCTACTTTTCTGCACATCTTTGCGTAAAAAGACAAAAAGTACATTTGTTTAGGACAACCCAAACCAACCCTAATATATACAGAGATGACTCTATAAATAGACATTTTAAATTATTGAAATGGGATCCATAATGAGCCTCATTGGCCCAAACAAGGCCAACTAGATCTTCTTTTTTTTTTACAATCGATAGAAGAATATTTACAAGTAAATAAGAAACATTACATCTTTAAACATATTAGTAGCCTAGTAGCTCACATAGTTAGAAGTCAACAAAGCCTACTACCCTACATATTAAGCCCAAACCCGCCCAATAATGAGAGAAAAAATTATCGAAACGAAATCCATAATGAGTCTCATTGGCCCAAACAAGACAAGCTAAACCCTTTTATTTTTTTTTATTTTTATTTTTATTTTTTACAATCGATAGAAGAATATTTACAAGTAATTAAGAAATATTACATCTTTAAACAAACTACTAGCCTAGTAGCTCACATAGGTAGAAAGTCAACAAAACCTACTAACCCAGATACTAAGGTGTCGTTTGGGATGTGGGTTGGCTTATTGGCTAAATTAGCTACAAAAAGAAAAAATAGGCTAAAAAACTAATAAGATAAAATGCTACATCCATACCTTAATCATTTCATTTTTTCTCTTATAAAAATCAAAAAAAAATAAAAAAAGTCAACCTAAATGAACTTTTTAACCTGGGCTAAAATAGCCAAAAAGTCAACCCAACTTCCCAAACGAAGCCTAAGCCCAAACCTGCCCAACAACCCCCATAAAGGGAGAGAAATAATCACCACCATAAAAGGTATCAAACTCCTTTCTGTATGAGTTTGAGACCTCATACCATAAAGGATATTACACAATCACTAAGCCAAATGTTCTAGTTAAGCTAGACCTATTACTTTATATATATATATATATATATAAACGTGGATTAAATATAAGATATTACACAATCACTAAGTCAAATGTCCTAGTTAAGCTAGACCTATTACTTTATATATATATATATATAAACGTGGATTATATATAAGCCTTCCATGTATCAAAAAATTAGTTTGATACAATAATCGTAGTTTTTTCATTTTATCGCTTTAATGGATGGTTTATTTTAAAAAACACTTATCTATTTTTTTACAAACAAACATAATAAAATAAAAAAATTATGGTTATCGAATCAATATACATAGACAGCCTTACAAAAATATATATATATATATTTGAGTTATTGAAATGAGATTCTTAATGGGTTCCACAATCCCAAACAATACCCACCATTCAATCTAAATTGTGAATTGGAAAAAAGCCCGAACCCTATATATAATCAAGAAACAAAAATGATATGACCTAGATTTCTTGTCCTAGA